TTGGTCGCAATCTCCTTTTGCATTATAGTGTTGGCTCGGCCTCGTTTTCGCAACTTGGTCGGAGCGTCATCGAGACCTTGTGGATCATACCTAGTCCGCTCTCTGCCATAGTATTTGTGATTTCCAGCATTAGACTATTGGCTGGGTACATTCCCAAACTTTTCGCTGACATCGTCAGTGAGAGGCGCCATCGTAAGCCCAGAGTTACAACTTATCAAAGTGACAAGACTTATCAAACACCTTATAATTTGATCATAGATGTGTAGACCCAAATGGTGTGGCCTTCTGTTTTATCGTAATCTCATTTAGCTTTATAATGTTGGTTCGACCTCGTTTTCACAGCTTGGTCGGGGCGTCAGGGAGACCTTGTGGAGTATACCTAGTTCTGTGTCCTCTGCCGTAATATTCGTGATTCCCAATATCGGACCAATGACTTAGTGCACTTCCAAATGTTTCACGGCATCGTCAGTCAAGGATGCAACCAGCAGCAGTCACAATTTATTAAAGTGACAAGCGAAGACAATCGCTCTGACTAATTTTTTGTTCAACCATTCAATCTTATAATTTGGTTGAATATCCCAAGCTTTTTCTACATGCTTGCTGAAAAGTGAAGTGGCTGCCGATGATGCATTAAACGAATACAATTGTGACCGAACAACAGCATACTCCCTTAGATCACTCATATGTTTGATGATGCATTATTATCGCTTGTGATTGCGTTCTATTACACGTACATTGTGTGTATGCAATGCTCATGAGACGGGTGGGGTGTGAAAGTGAAAACCAGATTTGATGCTAATCAAGCCTCTTGCTAATCGGCACCCTTTGTTCCCTCGACTGTCTTATCCTATCCAACAGCCACAAGTAGTCTCCAATTAATTTTCTACATTCATTTCTTCTATTCATGGTGATCGTTTTTTTGTTGATTTCTATAGATTCCCTAATCTTCCGCTCATTGGAATTTTCCATATCTGGCCAGGCGTTTGGCTTTATACCAACTATTTGGCGTCCTGCAGGAGCTGTATCCGGCCATAAGATGTCTCACAAACTGGAGGAAGATAAGCTATAAGAGGTAGGTAGGATTGTAGCCAGCCACCTTTTTCGTCTTCGTGTTTGGTGAATTATCGTAAAGCATGTTGTTTTATTCTGATGATGTTCGTCACATGGTGAATGAGAGCTCAAAAAGGGCAGTGAACCGAGGACTTATTCGCACAAACCTATAACCATAGCTTCGAGGAAATACTCTTACAGCTCCAGATGGGGCTAACTTACGAACCCCTTCCAATTATCTTGTCAAACGAAACGAAAGGTACTCTAACATCGATTAATAACAGGTCCTCTTTAAATTTGTATAGCTTTGCTCTGAGAAAAAATCTGTTTGTAAATTAGGTTTATATGGACAGAACAATGTAGTGAGTTGCAATCGCTTTTAGTAGCATTATTAGCTAATGATCTAATATTGATTCACTGAAAAAGTAGTGACACTCTAGGCATGTGGAAAATGCCCTTCCCTACCTGCCAACCATGAAAGTCCTCTTCTAGTATGAGCAAAAGAGTGGCGTAAAGATGAGCTTCAGCTTTAGCACGCCGCTTGGCAGCCTCGGCACGTCGTTCCTCTCGTAATCGATGCAGAAGGCTAGCAGGGATTTCTTCAGGAGTAACAGGCCTCATGAGGTCGGACAAACTGGCTTCGTGCATATATACAAGCATGTAAGCATTGGTACAGGATTGCCTGAATGCACTAGTTCCACCGAAGCCACCGAGATCATCTTGGTGGCCACCATAGTTCTGTACAGTTATGCATATATAAAAATTAAAGATAAATATGTGAAAAAGGTGATGGTAATGAAAAGGACTAGCAACAGGCAAATTCATTCATATACGAAAGCCTAAGAAAATATTCTGGCTTTTAAGGAAATTCTAACCTTTTTGTATGATAATCTTAAAAAATTAAGAAAGTAGATGACTAGTATATATTTACTTCATGTATGAATGCGAAAGACCGTTGCATTCAAGATATGAAGCCATTGGTTAGCCGATACTGTACGAATCTAAAATTTATCTATTTTAAAGGATTCAAGGGGGAAGGGGGTGAGAACGCCACGTGGAGTGTGAAGGGTTTTCATGGATGCCGCTCGAAGGAGCACGCCACACTACATCAAAATAAGCATGGTAAAAAGTGTGACAGGGAAGGTGTGATAGGATGATTTAGGAAATGCGAATAACCCAGGGCAGAAGGGGAGATACCCCAATTGTTTAGCACACGTTTGATCAAAGGATCGGCTTCA